ATGATTATAATTAGGATTGAAAGACCTATATTGTTTTTAGTTACAACCTTCATTGTTAAGAATGATTTATGTATTGGGGAATTTCAAAGTTTTTCAACTTCCAGAGCAAATATCCTAAAACTTATTTTCTGAAAACAATGATTTGGATTTTCTTCTTACCATTACTCCAAATTAGGGCTCTTTGTTTTTATGTCTTCCCAGGGACAATAGAGCTTGGTTACATTTTTTTGTTTCTCTCAAATACATACTATTATGCTGGTTTTTTGAGACCTTGTTAGTGTGATTTAGTGAATGGAATAACAATTTTTTTCATAGTAAGATCATTTTGTTATGCTTATCTGGTTCTTTTCTTTCTTCTTCTTCTTCTTCTTCTTCTTTTTTTTTTAACAGACCCTCCCCTTTTCTAGTTTGATGAGAAATAACATTTTAGGTACCAGTGTACATAAATAGATGTATTAATTATAATGAACTGGAGGTTTTAGAATCAAAATTAAATCTGGGGATTTTTAAAAAATGAAATCCTGTTAAATCCTGAAGTCAGGTGCAGTATACACCTTACATCAAAACCAAATGTTTAATGTTTGTAACTGATTCATTATTTTCTACTAGTGTTGTTACGTTCTTATTGGAAACTCTGTAGGGTTGTACTTTGTCATTCCAGCTGGTTATTTTTCTTCAGTTTAAAGTAGTCATGTTTACTGGAACATTATAGCATGTTGACTTGCTGAGAGCTTAAATATATGTGGAACAAAACCATGCTACATTCATCAATAGATACAACTTCCAATTTTATATACTGAAATACTGAATTTAATACATCAGTATCCAAGTTCTAATTTTTAAGCCGTTTTTCAGAAATCACAATTCTTACAGTTGACCAGCAGGTGGCAGTCTACCATTAATGGATTTTTGCTCTCATCTTCCAGGTTGTCCTTCACTAACATTCAAAAAAACCTGTAATCTGAAGAAGGGCTTTGTTTTAATTATTTGCATAAAAGAATTGTGCTTTCAAGTTTTGTGAGTTGCAAAAGTGTCCTAGCATTATGGTTTGCATTGAACATGTGGAAAATCCCTTCATTCCTTGGACTTATTAATTTGTTTTATCAATGGGATAAAATAAAACCAATAATGGCCTTAACTGAAGAGTAATGCTAGTATTCTAATTTAGATGATCTTAAACCTAGAGAGTTACAGGACTCCTTTAAGTGTGTCTACTCCTGCCCCTTGCTTAAAATGCAAGAGGAATTGGAGCAAAAATTTATAAATTACTGTGTCTCAAAATGGAATAGCAGTCCTACCGATAAAAACTACAAGTAGGCTTTCCTCTTTCTCTCACAGGGGTGGGAGTAATGATAATATACTAGTATGTCAGCACTTAAAAATCACAAATCAGTGAATTCAGGGGGACATAGAATACTCAGTCCTCTTTTGATCTACCCTTAGAAACACTAAGGGTTTAACTAAGTCTCCCACACACCCCTGCCTTTTCATTTCCCATCTCTAACCTTAGTATTATTGCCCGAGTAACTCTAAAGCATATTAAGCCGCTGATGTTTGCTTAGAAAGTAAAGTTGTCATAAGATTATGATGAGAATGATTCACTTCTGTTTAAACAGTGTGCAACCTCTACCCCTACTGCTCCTGCCTCCTGGGAATCCTTATCACGTATTTGTCCTAAAAACATTACCCACCTGCCCTGTCCTTTATAGTATCAGCAGTGCATCTTTTTATCTTGTGGATGATGTGCCTTTATATTTTGAGAAAAATTTCCAGTAACAGATTCGATTTACATGGACAGAAACTTGAGCAAATGCCAAACTAGCAGGGGGGCCATTATTCTGCTCTATAAATAAGTTTTAAAAAAGAAACACACACACACACATGCATACACACACACAGAAACCTGTGAATCAACATGTTTTGGTCTAATTGAAGGGAAAAGCAAGATAGATAAATTTTGAAATGCAAATGATCACCTTCTGTTATTTAAGTATAGTTTCTGCCAACTTTTTGATCATAGATTTTAAAAAGCCATAGTCATTTCAACAATGCATACTACCAAGGATGTCTGATATTGACAAGCTTCTATAACAAAATGAAGAACGTCTTTTAAAAAGTTGCCACTTTTTATATTAAAGAAAACAAATCCAACAACAAAAAGACAAAAACCATGGAGTGTTCTCTATCTACATCTGTGAAAAAGCCAGCGAATAAATGGCTGCAGCTGCAGGCCCATCAAGAGGGTCTTGAGAATACGAATTCACTGATCAAACCCAGCCCTGTTTTCAAAGTAGAAGCCCTTCCTTTTAGGTTCACTTTGTACCCTTAGATTATCTAGGATGACTCTCTAGAAAGGTTTTATTTTAAATAAACATCATTCATGGTAAATGGGTTCCTTTCATACCAGAGAAACAGAACGTGGTTCAGGAAGAGAAAGGGCAAAGAAATAGTCCCCAAAGTAGTAATACATTGTATAGCATGACAATGTAAATATAACAGTGTGTAGTCTCCATAGTAGGAGACTTTGAGATACTGTATTAAGAGACTTTTAGACAGGCGCCCTGTTTCTCATTGTGAGAGATTATAGAGTAAAAGCTGGCGTAAATTGATTGTTAGCCTCCCCAGGACTTCCTTGTAGTTGCTCTGATTTTATTTCTCTTTGCACACACATATGTACACAAAGGATTTTGTGTATTTTATCATTGGAGTGATTTATTATATAGAATAATTTTTTTTTTGTTATAGCACTTTAAGTATGACAGAAAAATAAAATGTCAAGAAAATATTTTTCTTTTATTAGCATTTTTTTTAGCAGTCTTGACTCATCATAAAAAGCAGCTAGAAAACAGAACCTATAATATTAAGCTTATAAAATACAAACAACTGTACTTGACAGTTTAATATGCAGCCTAAGACAAGTGAGTAAAATTGTTCATATCTTTGTTATTATGCTAATATTATCACTTAAGTTTCCCCATTCGTTCTAGTCTTAAGAGGTTGAGATGGTATCCTATCAGTGTGTCCTTCACCTTTGTTTTCCACCCCGTTGTAAGCCTTGAAATTTACATTAATATTTCTCACTGAGTACTTTTTAGACTTGGGGATTTATAGGTGAATATGTGTGTAAATTGACAAAGTCTAAAATGCTCTTTACGGCATCCCAGTCTCCATGCTCCCAGATGTCAAATGACAGCTTTGCTCCCTCTCTCAGGCGATTTCACACTTGGAAACAGCTCACAGCTGACGGGGAAAAGTGAAACAGAAAAGTCATGCTAAACACTATCTCCGAAGTTCAGTTTTAGAGCATCACAATTATTTACTACCATGCTATGCTCTTCTAGCCTGACTTTCAAGTAGTCCATGAATATATTTTTTGAGAGTAGTCTCCCCTGTCCTTCTCCATAAATATGCTTTACACACAGTTTGTTGCTTTTTAAGCATGCTGCTCTGTGTGATAGTTATGTATTTGATAACTAGATCTAGGACTCAGACCATGAATGGTTTAAAATATCATGAGGCCATCCTAAGTTTAAAATTTAGAATATTGAGATGGAATTGAGAATTACTAAACCTCGATATTGTCCCATATCTGCCATTAACTCATTGCATGATCTTGTTTGCAACTTACTTAAGACTTTCCAGGCCTTACTTTACTGGTAATAAAATAGATTTGTTGAGTATAAAAAAGATCACAGGTGTCAAATCACCTAATTCCCTTCTTATACAAAATTTAGTCAAAATTCACATCCATCTTATTAGGGCAAGAATTTTTTTTACTCAAGGAAAAATGTTGATTTCTTGTCTAACAGTAGGAATAAAAGAATTGTTTTACTTTCTAAGTATGTATTTTTACTCATAGAGTTTGTACATAAAGAATATATTGTGGAGCCGGGCCAGAGTGGGTCAGTTGGTTGAGTTGTTCTGTGCGCTGAAAGGCTGCCGGTTCAATCCCTGGTCAGGGCACATACCTGGGTTGCGGGTTCGATCCCCAGTCAGGGCACCTGTGGAAGGCAACCAGTCCGTGTTTCAGTCACATCGATGCCTCTCTCTCTCTCCCTCCCGCTTCCTCTCAGCTGTCC